CTGCAGCCTTGGCAGCCCTTAAGCAGAGGCTGTCCCCTCACCAGCTCTCCTTTCAGCTGGAGAAACTGAGTCATGGGAAGTGTCTGGGGAGAGCGGGGTGATTCACGGGGAGCCTCTGTCCTTATCCCAAACCCCTCAGTGTGGATAAAGGGCAGATGCTAGGTGGATGAGGAGACCTTGGTGTCCCTTCACCGGCATCCTTCTTGTCTGCCCCCTCTCCAGCCAGCACTGGATCAAAGCCTGGTGTCCTGCTCACCACCACCAGGCACCAGCCTTTGCCCAGCTCCCTTCAGCCCTTCCCCAGGCAGCCGAGGGACTCGGCTTTAACACCTCCAGCTTTTCTTTTCCGCGTGGCTGCTTTTCCACTCCCTCAAGCAGGCAGCTCTGCCCTTCCCAGCCTTGCAAGCAGCTCTGGAAGCGCGGCGAGGCGGCCGGGAGCAGCGGCGGCTCCGTCTCGCGCCCTCGCCGGTCGTTCATTCATTCCTTCTCGCCGTTCATTCACAGCTCCGTGCTGGGGACGGCCGCCTGTCCGCAGGCACATTCATCTGCTGCTCTGGTTTTTTTTTCATCCCCTCGGCGTGCCGGGCTGTCCGCGCGGAGCCTCTCCGAGCTCTTCTCCGCCGTGCGATGAGTTTTACTCAGGGCTCAGCCGGAGCGCAGCTCGTTATGAAGTGACTCTTGTGGAGCCTCCTGCCCGGGGCTGCGAGGGGACAGAGGTGTTATTTCACCAAACAAACTCCCGGTGAACGATGTGCATTAGCAATGAGGGGTCGCAGCCAGGAAAATATTACCTTTCCCTTTGAGTGCTGACTGCGGAGGAAATTCTCACATTTACAGCTCCAGCGAGTCCGGCGCTCATGGAAAGAGGGGGCGGCTTTGATTTCTCTCCTCTCAGTTTGATAACTTTGCAGCCCCCCCGGGACCCGGCCACCGGTGGAGGCTGCGCGGCTTCGCGGCTCCCTCCCCGGGAGCCTGTTTTAATTTGATTTTCCCGGAGGCCTGGCGTGTGTGCGTGCTGCCCTGTCTGCCTGTGCGTGTGTGTGTGTGTGTGTGCGTGTAGGTTAATCAAAAATAAACAAACAGCACTTTTTTTTCCCTCCGGTGCACGGCGGGAGGGATGCGGCCGGGGATGCCGAATGAAAGCGCGTGCTGGGGGCTCGCGGCGGGGG